CAGCCTCAAACTTCTCCACCTTCTCCTCCTTCACCGCCGCATCCGCCCGCTGAGCCTCCTCCTTGACCGCACTCTCCGCCTCCATCGCCGCAGCCGCTCCCCCTGCCTCCTCCTGCTTTGCCGCCGCCGCCCGCCCGCCGCCCGCCCGCTGCGGCGAGGTGGAGCTCTGCCCCTTTGCCGCCGGCCGGTGGTCGGCCGTGGTGCGCGACGACGTGGCCGCGGCCGGCTCTGCGGGGAGGAGCTTCCACTCCATCGGATCGAGGCCGGTCAGGCACTCCTGGTGCTCCTCGCCGTCGTCGTACATCACGCAGTGCTCGAGCGCCACCGGGTCGTATGCCTTGACCCGCCCGGTGAACCACTTCCGCTCTCCCGGCCAGTAGACGCTCACCCGCCGGCCGACGAGAGCAGGCCCCTCCGGCTTCTCGGGAGGCGCGTCACCAGCGCCGGCAGCGCACGAAGACTTGGCCGCCGCGCCTTGTGCGCCCTTGGAGGAGGAGGCGCCGCTGTTGCCGCCGCTGCCGCCGCGCTTGCTGCTGTTGCCGCCGCTGCCGCCGGCGCTTTGCGACGCTCCGCCGCCCAGCAGCAACTCGCGGAAGGCCTCGAGCGTCATTGAGCTGAACTCCCTCTCTTGGGTCAACTTGATGAGGAGGTGGTCCTTGCCCTTGAGATTATCCCCCTTGAGTGACCAACCGCCGATAATGACAAAGGCATTGTACGGACCCGCCGCGACTAGGCGCGCAAACTGCAGAATCTCGTCCGGGGTCGGCTTGATCGTGCCCTTCCCCGCACTACCCGCTGCGTCACTCTGACCGCGGCCTCGGTTGGCCCGCCCGCCCGCCGCCGTCGCCGCCGCCGCCACCGCAGGCTGCTGCTCGCCCTCATACTTTTGCTTGAGCATTTCAAAAGCGGTCGAGATCTCCTTCTGTGCCTCGGCCGCCCCCGGCTCGGAGGTCTTGTCCGGGTGCAGGAGCTTCGAAAGCGAAAGGTACTCCTTCCGTATCGCCTTCAGCTCGAGCCCAGAGCTGACGCCGAGCACATTGAAGGGGTTCTTACGATTAGTGCCGTCCGTCGACCAGCCAGGGCTGACGGGCTCGTCTGAGATGCGCTGGATCGCTCGCTGCCGGAGGGCGTCCTCGTCCTCCTGCATCGGAGCGAAACTCGAGGCGATGATGCGGGCGCCCACAACAAAGCAGCGCCCGAAAAAGAAGAAATCGCGCTGCCAGTGTTCGTGTGTTTCTCCGTTTTGTTTCTTTCTTTCTTTAGGGTACATGCTGGTCAAGGTGCCTCGTCCCTCGTCCTCCCTCTACCGACTATCCGCCGCTGATTTCTTCCTTTCTTTGTGGGTGCTTTGTAAGGTGCCGATATGGGCTTCCAGTATCAGACCTTCAAGAAAATGCGCGTTTGGTCTGCGGCCTCTTCTCGGCCATTCTTTTACTTTCAACATGCATGCTCACCACACTTGTTCTTGACGCCTGGGCCTTGGGCGAGAGAGGAGGCTGCTGCGGTTTGACAGTGCAGCGCTCCATGCACCTCCGCTGTTATCTGGCGCCGCCCCCGTACTGCGGCTTGAGCTTGTACTCCATCTTGTGCGGCCCAAACTTTTCCCTCTCGCACAGCTCGTCGAGGACGGGTGCCAGGTCCGTCGGCCGCTGCCCGGTCTCGCTCGCGAGGTCCGCCTTGTGCCAGTGGGGCTGGAGCTCGAACTTCTCGAAGACGAGGTCGCGCAGCTCCTCCCGCGAGAGCTTCTTCTGCGCCTTGGCCGCCTTCTGCTTCTGCTCGGCGCGCTCCCGCTTCCCGTCCCTGATGCCCTGCTTCTGCCGGTGGATCTCGCTCGCTTTCTTGAGCGGCTGGTTGAGGTGATCGACGTCCACGGCCTCCACCTCGGCTCGCACGGACGCCGCCTCCTGCCGGCTCCGCACGAGCTGCTTGTAGCCCGCGCTCAGCCCCGCCGCAGACACATCCCCCTTGGCCGTCACCCGCCCCTCAAGCACCATTTCGCCGGCGGGCGCGTCGGGGCCGCCCGGCGCGAAGCTGTACATGCCGCCCGTCGGCGCGCCCAGCGTCAGCTTGTACTCCACATCGCCGCCCGCCTCGCCCGACGACGGTCCTGCCCCGCCCGGCGCCGCGCTCGTCCGCAGCGTGTACGTGTCCCTGCCCATCGCGTCCTTCACGCCCGGCTCGACGACGCCGAGGCTGTGGCCGGACGGCTGCTGCTGCCAGCTCTCCGCGAGGTGGCGCGGCACCTTGACGAGCCAGAGGGACGACATCACCGCGGCCTGGGTGCGAGCCGCGCACAAAGAAAACTGTGCCTTACTGGCACACACACCCATCCCTCCCTTGGGTTGTCCGTTTTCTTTCTTTCTTTCTTTTACACACACACATGCATGCACAGACACACAGCGCCTTCCCCTTCCCCCTCAAGGACGAGGACACACACAGGACGCACCTCTAGCGAGGCCTGCATAGTATGTGGGAGACTCCTGCCGCCGCCCCTGCCACCCCTGCGTCAGTGTGCCTGTCTGAGAGAGAGAGATTTTTAGCAATACCAAACAACTCTAACACTCACACGTCATTTGGGGCCTGGAGCGCTCTTCACGTTTTTGTCCTGTCTGTGCCACTGTGGTTCAGTGGTTGCGAGAGACTGCCAGTGAGAAGCTGGATGGAGGCAGGTCGCTAGACTGAGATGAGACCGCCAGTGGAGTTGGGAGTCCACCGTGCACCGCGCTGCGAGTCTGTCGTGTCCCTTGTCAGGACCAGGAGAGCCCCACCTGTGCCCCTGGTCGTCCTTCCAAAATCCTTGCTCGTGGTCGTGCAGGTGTGGACCCTGTCCTCCTCCCCCATCCCTCGTTTGGGTTTGCCTGTCTTCTTTCTTTCTTTTTGCACCACAAAAAGCCGCGAGAGCAAGGGATCGGCAGGCGGCGGCGGCGTCGCAGGACGAGGGTCGAGGCAGAGGAGAGCGACGCGACAGAGGAGGAAGCGACAGGGAGGGGAGAACGACGAGAGTGGGACGACCGCGAGGTGGCATGAAGGTTGCAGCGAGAATCGGCGAGGGACTGCGAAGAGAGATAGGAAGCCCAATGGTTAGGCCTGTACCGTGTTTGTTATGACCCCCCCCAATGAACACACCAGTGGAGGGAGGGCGAGACGATCGAGGGGTCCCGTACCATGCGGAATCGACCCTATCCAGTGCTCAAGTGCTCAGGGTGGGCGACGGCTAGCACCACACTGAGGGTCCAACTTGAGAATCGTGCTTTTTGTGAGGTTGTTTCGTGTTAGGTTGGGTTGTGCTTGGGTGAGGTTGTTCCGAGTGAGGTTAGCGAAGGGTGAGGTCTCGACCGCCGCCGCTCACGCCAGCGGACGGCCACCATCGGTGTTTTTGGCTTCGCCACCGTCCAAGGCGTGCGCCATGCACTCGCCGTTATCGAGCGTCCGAGCAAGCCTGTCCGACGAGCGGCTTGCTGTGCGGACGCCTTCTTGTCGCTCTCGTCGAGAGCGTTTTGCGTCCCGGCGGGTTGAGAGAAGATGTGTCGTCTGATGTGTCACTGTGTACGTCACATCGGTCTTGATAACAAGCACGGTCGATCCGTCAAAGCGATACACTCGTTCCTATCACGTTGGAGGGCTGGCACAGAGAGCGACAAGAAGGCGTCCGCACAGCAAGCCGCTCGTCGGACAGGCGAGCTCGGACGCTCGATGTCGGCGAGCGCATGGCGCACGCTTTGGACGGTGGCGAAGCCAACAACACCGATGGTGGCCGTCCGCTGGCGTGAGCGGCGGCGGTCGAGACCTCACCCTTCGCGCCGACGACCTAACCTCACTCGGAACAACCTCACCCAAACACACCCAACCTAACAAGTGCTAACACGAAACAACCTCACCCAAAAAGCACGATTCTCAAGTTGGGCCCTCACATTTGGCCTGTGCCCGTTATTCTCGAATATCGTTGAGAATATAGAGGGCCTAGCTAGCGCACTTGAGCATTCGATTTCTCGAGACAGAGTGTAGATGCCCCGCCGCTTTTCCCTCAAGAATATACGAGCTTTCCGCAGCCCTTGACCTTACTTAAGGTCATTCACGGGTGTCCGCGGCCCACTGTGCCCGCTGGTAGGACAGTGACCGCCGCAAACCCTGTGATCAGCTCCATGCGATCTCGGATATTTTTTGTAGGCACCGTAACACCAAAAAACTACTATGTCTTGCAGTGAAAAGTAATCCGAGCAGCGGCCGCAATGAATCAAAAGGGGCGGTTTTCGAGGGGGAATCTGGAGAATCTGGGAATCGGCTCACCACGGATCCCCACCTCATCGAAAAACTTTTCACTCCAAGACATACTACATGTAGTTTTTTGAGGTGCTCTACAACCTAGGCACAAAAGATATGGCATTTGAGGCCATTTAGGGCCCCTTAGACGGTCACTGAGTAGGCCAAAATCCCTCCCTTGGGTTGTCCGTTTTCTTTCTTTATTTTACACACACACATGCATGCACAGACACACAGCGCCTTCCCCTTCCCCCTCAAGGACGAGGACACACACAGGACGCACCTCTAGCGAGGCCCGCATAGTATGTGGGAGACTCCTGCCGCCGCCCCTGCCACCCCTGTGTCAGTGTGCCTGTCTGAGAGAGAGAGAGAGAGAGAGATTTTAGCAATACCAAACAACTCTAACACTCACACGTCATTTGGGGCCTGGAGCCCTGTTCACGTTTTTCAGTGTATGTAGCTCTTACGAACATACCCGAGGGTGAACTGCTGACAGGGTTTGCGATGAGGAGCGATCCGAACGTGGCATTCGGGTGATTAGATCACTACCGCCGAAACGCAAGAGCACTGCGACGGATCGGGCTCATGCTAGCATCCACCTCGCGGGCCGACGTTTTTGTCCTGTCTGTGCACTGTGGTTCAGTGGTTTGCGAGAGACTGCCAGTGAGAAGCTGGATGGAGGCAGGTCGCTAGACTGAGATGAGACCGCCAGTGGAGTTGGGAGTCCACCGTGCACCGCGCTGCGAGTCTGTCGTGTCCCTTGTCAGGAGCAGGAGAGCCCCACCTGTGCCCCTGATCGTCCTTCCAAAATCCTTGCTCGTGGTCGTGCAGGTGTGGACCCTGTCCTCCTCCCCCATCCCTCGTTTGGGATTGTCTGTCTTCTTTCTTTCTTTCTGCACCACAAAAAGCCGCGAGAGCAAGGGATCGGCAGGCGGCGGCGGCGTCGCAGGACGAGGCAGAGGAGAGCGACGCGACAGAGGAGGAAGCGTCCGACAGGGAGGGGAGAACGACGAGAGTGGGACGACCGCGAGGTGGCATGAAGGTTGCAGCGAGAATCGGCGAGGGACTGCGAAGGGAGATAGGAAGCCCAATGGTTAGGCCTGTACCGTGTTTGTTATGACCCCCCCCAATGAGCACACCAGTGGAGGGAGGGCGAGACGATCGAGGGGTCCCGTACGATGCGGAAGCGACCCTATCCGGTGCTCAAGTGCTCAGGGTGGGCGACGGCTAGCACCACACTGAGGGCCCAACTTGAGAATCGTGCTTTTTGCGAGGTTGTTTCGTGTTAGGTTGGGTTGTGCTTGGGTGAGGTTGTTCCGAGTGAGGTTAGGTCGTCGGCGCGAAGGGTGAGGTCTCGACCGCCGCCGGGCGCCGCTCACGCCAGCGGACGGCCACCATCGGTGTTTTTGGCTTCGCCACCGTCCAAGGCGTGCGCCATGCACTCGCCGTTATCGAGCGTCCGAGCTCGCCTGTCCGACGAGCGGCTTGCTGTGCGGACGCCTTCTTGTCGCTCTCGTCGAGAGCGTTTTGCGTCCCGGCGGGTTGAGAGAAGATGTGTCGTCTGATGTGTCACTGTGTACGTCACACCAGTCTTGATAACAAGCACGGTCGATCCGTCAAAGCGATACACTCGTTCCTATCACGTTGGAGGGCTGGCACAGAGAGCGACAAGAAGGCGTCCGCACAGCAAGCCGCCCGTCGGACAGGCGAGCTCGGACGCTCGATGTCGGCGAGCGCATGGCGCACGCTTACCTTTGGACGGTGGCGAAGCCAACAACACCGATGGTGGCCGTCCGCTGGCGTGAGCGGCGGCGGTCGAGACCTCACCCTTCGCGCCGACGAACTAACCTCACTCGGAACAACTTCACCCAAACAACCCAACCTAACAAGTGCTAACACGAAACAACCTCACCCAAGAAGCACGATTCTCAAGTTGGGCCCTCACATTTGGCCTGAGGCCTGTGCCCGTTATTCTCGAATATCTTTGAGAATATAGAGGGCCTAGCTAGCGCACTTGAGCATTCGATTTCTCGAGAGTGTAGATGCCCCGCCGCTTTTCCCTCAAGAATATTCGAGCTGGTTCGAGCTTTCCGCAGCCCTTGACCTTACTTTTGGTCATTCACGGGTGTCCGCGGCCCACTGTGCCCGCTGGTGGGACAGTGACCGCCGCAAACCCTGTGATCAGCATGCGATCTCGGATATTTTTTGTAGGCACCGTAACACCAAAAAACTAGTATGTCTTGCAGTGAAAAGTAATCCGAGCTCGCCCGCGGCCGCAATGAATTAAAAGGGGCGGTTTTCGAGGGGGAATATGGAGAATCTGGGAATCGGCTCACCACGGATCCCCACCTCATCGAAAAACTTTTCACTGCAAGACATACTAGTTTTTTAAGGTGCTCTACAACCTAGGCACAAAAGATATGGCATTTGAGGCCATTTAGGGCCCCCCTAGACGGTCACTGAGTAGGCCAAAATCCCCACTGGGCCGGGAGCAACCTTAAGTAGACCTCGAGTCCAAAGATATTCTTGAATATTCTTGACGTTACCGCTGCTGCGCGTCTAAAACGGTCTTGACGAGAGAGCTCGAAACAGCTATTTCCCCCCTCAACAGTAGGTTTCGGGTCGATCCGACTGAAATCTTTAAGTTTTGGAGGTTCTGAGCGGGTTTGGGAGCGACTTTTGGCCTCCGTCGACCTACGGCTACGCGTGGTCAAAATATTCACAATATTCGAGAATATTCTCGAGAATATAGACGGTCCGGGGAGAATACAAGCAAAAGAATATAGATAGTCCTGGGCGAGAATAACGCGCACAGGCTAACTCACACACACACTCCTCTCGCTCTCCTTCCTTCAAATCCCTGTGTGGTGGCGGCGTGCCGTCCTCCCATCCGCATCCCTCCCTAAATAAATAAATAAAACGGGCATCCCAAGCTATCCCTCCCTTGCTTGGGTTGCATGTTTTTTGTTTCTTTCTTTTTGGCACCACAGCCCAAACACGCGTCGCCTAAACAACCGGCTCCTGCCTGCCTAAGGAATGCAAAACTTCGGGCTAGGTAGGTAGGTGGTGGTAGGTCCCGTACCATGCGGAATCGACCCTATCCAGTCCTCAAGTCTCAAGGTAGGGAGGGAGCACTTAGAAAAGAAAATCGGCTGCCTCTCGTGCCACCGGATCCACCCGAGCGCGGTGGGAGGGGTGGATCACCGTCGGCGAGGGGCGGCCCTACGCGGCGGCCGTGGCGCGGATGCTGCAGAAGGCGCGCCTCGCTCGCTCCCGCGCTCCCGACCCTCGCCAGTACTGATGGATCGCGCGCGCTACCGGTGGCAGGGAGGCATCACCGGCCCGCAGCGCTCCCGCCACCTCGAGAAGAGCGACGCCGCATCCCGCGCGCTCGAGGTGGGCGAGGTGCCTTGGGACGGCAACTCCTCGAGCAGGAAGCAGGCGGTCGGGGGAGCGGGGGCGACTCACACGGCAGGCGCGCGACCAGCCCTCGACCACCGCCTCGAAGACGGCCCGCCCTCCGCTTCGGAGGTCGAGCGAGCCTTTGGCCTGCACCGCTTCCGCGAGCCGGAGGCGCACGGGCTCGAGTTTGCGCGCGGCGAGGTGCGATGCGTCTGCGGGTGCTGCGAGACGTGGCAGCGCTGGGTGAGCGGCAAGCCCTTGCTCACGTCGGCGGGCGGGCTTCCGGTCACTGTGCACGGCGGCGGCGCGCCACTCGTGCGGTACGAGGTGATCACGGCCGAGCTAGTCGAGAGCCTCGCCATCTGGTTCGCCGGCCTCGCAGGGCGGAGGCCGGCACCGCTCCGGGTCCTCGAGGTTGGCGCCGGTGACGGGCGCCTCACTCTTCACCTGCGGGCGGCGCTGAGACGGCGAGGGCTCTCGTCGCGCGAGGTGCAGCTCGTCGCCACCGATAGCGGCGCGCGGGAGCTCGCCGCGTGCGAGCCGGGTGCGGTCGAGGCGCGCGACTACCGCTCCGCGCTGCTCGAGCACGCGCCGCACGCCGTGCTCTGCTCGTGGATGCCGCTGGGGGAGGACTGGACCGCCGCCTTTCGCAGCAGCGAGTCGGTCGAGACGTACCTCCTCCTCGGCGAGGTGGACGACGGCTGCTGCGGCCGGCCGTGGGAGACGTGGGGCTACGACGCAGACGGGACCCACGGAAGCGAGAGCGAGGGCGACGGCGAGAGCGGTGGCGAGAGCGGTGATGAGAGCGGTGATGCGGGCGGCGGCGAGGGCGAGGGCGAAGGCGGGAGTGTGGGAAGGAAGCGGCAATGCGGCGGGCTGCGGGCTGCGCGCCGCAGAAGCGCGGTGGACTGGGCGCAGCGGCTGCCCGCCGTTGAGACCGCAGGGCCGCCGGGTCGGCTTGAGGGTCGGCCCGAGGAGGACGCTTGCGCGTGGCGGAGGGTGTACGAGCGCCGCCCGCTCCGCACGCCGTTCGGCGCAGACGGGTGGACGCGCAGGCCGCTGCCCGGCGTGAGCTGCCAGATCTGTCGGACCGACGCGCCGTGGTGCAACAGGCGGCACTCCCAGGCCGTCTGCTTTGAACGGCTCCCAGACAGATAGCGCAGAGTTTGTCGTGCGGGCGGTTGTCTGTTGGGCGGCTCTCTGCGCTCACGTGACCGGACCCGGTGAGCGCACCCGCGTTTGCGACCACGGGGACCCGATTTTCGTTTACCAGATGTCGTTTACACGCGATGAGATGTACGTCAGTCGATCCGGCTTTTTTACTTTTTTTCGGCATTCGGGCACATTCATTCAAAATGTTACTTGTTAGTTGTTAGATGCTACCGCATTGCCAATGGTTAAATGTGCACCGTAGATCACTGACTCTGTAGGTAGTACTGTGTGCTGCGCCGTGCGCGACCTCGGAACACGCAACCGACACATACGTACAAAAGTGTCTCACTCTGCGAACCCCCCGCGAACCGTCAACCGACACCGCGCGTCCACGTCAGAGCACTCAGCGCGAGTTTTCTCGGGCAGAACTGGCGCCTGGCCTCGCGCCCCATGCAGCCGCGGACACGGCGTAATGGCTGGCGCGCGCTTTGCCAAGCGCACCTCAGTACAGGGTGTATCCGCGTTCGAGCGCGTCCAGGACGCCTTCGAGCGAGAGCCCGCCGATGTGCTCTGCGGGGTAGTTGCAGACTCTGGCTTGCTGCAGCTTCGACGAGTGCTTGGGCTCGAATCGATGCTCGTCGGCGACACAGCCGCTGGGCTCGAGCTTCGGGCAAGCCATGCACAGCTCCTCGATCGTGTCCTTTTGCAGATCGGGGCCGTGCTCGTCCTTGCAGTGCTTCAGCCGCACGAGAGCGAGGGCGGGCAGCTCGCAGCCCGCAAAGTCGCTCGGCGCCACGACGATCTCCTTGAGCTCAAGCATGACGAGCGTGCGCGGCAGCGGTGTGGCTTGGAAGCTCTTTCCGAGGCGGGGCAGCCGAGGCAGCGTCTCGCCTCGCGAGAGGTACTTCCTGCCGTGGGAGAGGCAGAGCGACTCGAGCCGCGGGCAGCCAGAGACAAAGGTCTTGATGAAGCACGCGAGGCTGGCGTCGGAGAGGTGCGGCGACGCGTCGCTCGCGGTGAAGCCGTAGATCATGTCGTAGATGTGGAGGCGCCGGAGGTTGGCGCCCTGCAGAGGCGCCGTCGGCAGCGGCGGCGACGGGCCGCGCAGGGCAAAAGAGATCGTGAACTCCTGCAGCTCGGGGAAGAGCGCGCCTGCCGCGACGCCTGCAAAGGGCGTGACGTTCTCCGCGTACCGGCCCGTCTGGCGAAGCCGTGTCAGCAGCGGCGTGCCGCCCTGCCGCGCCTCGCGGAGCAGCTTGGCGAGGCCTTCGAGGATGTCGCCGGACAGCTTGTGGGAGGCGAGCGACTCGAGGCTCGGCGCCGTCTTGAGCACTGCGAGCACGGTGGCCGCGCCCACCTGGCCCCAGTCGAGGTCGAGGATGCGGAGGGCGGGGCGCTGCACCTTTGCCATCAGGGTCAGAATCTTCTTGTTCATTCCCTGCCCTGTCAGGCTGAGGCGCTCCACGCCCGGAAAGAGCGCGAGCGTCGCGCTCACGTCGTCGGGCGCGAAGCCCTTTGAGATCAGCAGCGAGAGCTCAGTCACCTTGTCGGCATCGGGCAGCCACTGCGCAAAGCGGACGAGGTTGCGGCTTGTGATCCAGTCCACAGTCTCGTAATGGTGACCGAGCCGCTGCGCGTCCTGAAGCGATGTGCGAACGACCGACCACAGGTCGGCGACGAATCGCAGCGGCCGCAGCCCTTTGCAAACCTCGATCGTAAAGGTCAGCTTGACCGGCAGGTAGCAGTTCTCGAGGACCTTGACGAGCAGGTCGACGGGCAGCAGCGAAAAGGGACCGGCGTCCTCGAATTGCGCCACCGCGGTGCCGACACGCACGGCGGCGCGGGCGGGAGGAGGGCGTGCGCTCCCCTCTAGCTGCTTGAGGCTGATTGGAGCGCCGGCGCGCAGCGACGAAAGGACGAGCTGCTTATCAGAAGACCTTCAAAAACTGGAACATGCCAACTTGGACCGAGGACCGGTACGGGAACGGCAGCTACATATAGCGCTTTGGTGCTGGGGGCGGATGTACGAAAGTTGGTGATGAAACGCTGTGGATCGAGTCCGAGTGCCTCAAGTGGGGATTCTTCACACCCGCCCAGCCCGACACGGACAACTCTCCGATTCTCGCTGCAACCGTCATGCCACCTCGCGGTCTTCCCACTCTCGTGTTTGTTTTGTCACTCTCGTCGTTCTCAACAAACTCTCAAAAACAAAACAAAATCTCTCAAACTCTCTCTCTCTCGTTCTCTCTCTTGTCGCTTCTTCCTCTGTCGCTTCGCTCCCCTCTGCCTCGTTCTGCGACGACGCCGCTGCCTGCCGATCCATGAGGCTCTGCTAAATGAATAAATAAAACGGACACACCAAACAAGGGGTGGGAGAAGGACAGGGTCGCGAGGCTCTGCTTGTAATCGAGAGAGAGAGATTTTTAGCAATACCAAACAACTCTAACACTCACACGTAATTTGGGGCCTGGAGCCCTGCCTGTTCACGCGCGCGCGAGACGTGCAGACAGGGTTGCCAGGTGAGAGCGAATGGCGCGGTTCACGCCTCGCACAACAGAGAGAGAGATGCGCTCTGCATGGTGGGACATAAAAGAGAGCGAGTACTTGGGCGAGTAGGCCGTGCGGTCGACGCTGCCGCGCGCGACTTTGCGCGCGAGGCGGCGCAGCTTGAGAACGGCGGTGGGCGAGAAGCCGCCGCCGAACGTCTCGTGGAGCAGCAGGTTGAAGTTGTTGCGCTTGACAAAGATCGCGTCGTGGTAGAAACCGCGATGCGCCTTGACGTAGCCGTGGCCGGTCTTGTGGGAGAAGGGTTGGCTGGGCTGCCCGCGCGCCTTGCAGCCCATGTTTAGGCGGCGGGCCTTCTCTTCGGTGTTGCCGAAGGCGTAGGAGTGGCCAACGGAGGCGGGCGTGCCGCCACTCGAGGCGTTGCCAACGCCCGGCGAGGAGAGGTCTTGAGGAGGGGCGTCCAGAGCTTGACTTCATTCACCTCATCGCATCCTCCTGGCCCCGCATGGGGTTCTGCGAGGTCAGTCTTGTACCCCTCATTGTACTGCCGGGTGAGCTCTGGTTTCTCCTTGTCACCGTGCACGACCGGCGCGTTGGCCGGGGCGCGCATCGCGTCCGCCCAGGCGGCGAGGACGCCGTCGTGGGGCCGCCGGTGGTGGGCCTTGTTGTAAAGGTAGTCGCCGAAGAAATCGACTGGCATGCCCCGCTCGAGCGCGACCCGTAGGGTGGGAAGCGCCGCGGAGAGCCAAAGGCCGAGCTTCCGCTGGAGCTCGTCCTGGAGGATGTCGGAGGAGAGGGCGGTGGCGTACGTACCGTCGACACGGACATCGAAGGCCTTGCCGGCGAAAGGCGTTGAGGCGGAGACGAGGCGCGCGGCTTCGCGGTTGTTGACGGCGCTGTCTCCGAGGGACGGGTTGTTCTTGACGTGCACATCCCGCGCCTTGACGAGCTCCTGGTGCGCGAACCAGTCCTTGTGATTCTTGATGGCAGCGAGCGCCCGCGGCCGCGGGTACGTGGATTTGCAAGTGCCATTGAGAATCGCGTCGGTAGCTGGAAGGCGTCGGGCCAAAGCCCCGCCAGACTCCCTTCACACTCTCTCTCCTAGAGTCCCGTGGCGTCGTCCTAGAGTCCGGAGGTTCCGCCCGTCCCGTCTCGTGACCGTCTCCGTACCACCAAGACTCGACCTACAATCCCAGAGTCGGCCGCCGGGGCGGGCGTTTGCCCGCCCAGGACGCCCCGGCCGAACGTGGCAGCGTCGTCTGTTCACGAACAGCCTTTGGGAAGCCCCAACGCGCTATCCACCTCACCCGCAAAATGCTCGCAATCTTCATCCCCGCCTTTCTCTCGCACACCGCTTGCGATTCACTCTTTCCCCTGCGCAACGGACGCGGTCCGGTTGGCTCCAGCCACCGACCTCCAGCACCCGAGCACGCGCCGAGGAGCTCCTGCGAACCCACCGCGCCGCCAGCGCCTTTGCATGCTGCACCTACTCCGCATCTCGCTCGCATGCCTCATGACGCTCACCTCAGCCCAGTCAACAGCTACGACCCCGGCCGCGACCCCGCCATCGGCCCTCTCGCCGACGCCGCTGTCGGCCCCGACAGCGGCTCGCTCCCCGGCAGTGCCACTGGACTTGAGCCCTCTTTCCCGCTCAGAAGGGAGCCGCACATCGCTACCATTGTGGGCCCCGCCGACGTCTCCACCGGCGGCGGACCCCTCGCCCTCGCCGCCACCGCTGTCGCCGGCGCCGGCAGCTACGCTGGTGGCTCTGCCTTCATCGTCGGGCTCACTCCCGTGTGCGGGAGCCACCCTTATGCCCTCCCACCTTCTCGCAGCAGCGGTGGCCGCCGCCAAGCCGCTTCGCCTAGCCTTCCAGGTCTCTCCGTCGACAGCGGCGTTTTCCTCGGTGTCTCCGTCTGCACCCCCTCGCCTCCTGTCAGCAGCACCCCAATTCGTGCCAGCGACTCTGTCCCTGGCGGCTCCGTTGAGAGCCTCGCTCGCGCCGTCTTCTCTTTCGCCGACAGCGCCTACGCCATCGCCAGCAATTGGTTCGCTATGCCGGGTTGCCGGGTTCAGCGAGCCAATTGCGCAGCCTGGTTCGCGCCGTCTTCGCTCTCGCCGACAGCGCCTACGCCATCGCCAGCAGCAATTGGTTCGCTATGCCGGGTTGCCGGGTTCAGCGAGCCAATTGCGCAGCCATCGCCAGCAATTGATTCGCTATGCCGGGTTGCCGGGTTCAGCAAACCAATTGTGCAGACTGGTTCGCTTCGAATCGACCGCTTTGACCTATCTGGCCACAATACCGGTATACGCCGCTACACTGCCGATTCGTCAGATGATGCCCCGGCCACTGGCACTACATCAACATGTTTTTTTTGCGTCGACACGACGATTTTTTTTTCACAACCACGACTACGAGCGGACTCAATTCTTCACAGCAACCAAGTGGATGTGCCAGCAAGCACCATGCAAACCCACCACGCTTCACCGAGCGCGCGCGCCTCCTCCTACGCCACCACTGGAGAGATCCCACGCACATCGCGCCATGACCGCACAAAGTTTGCACCAGCTCACCATCATCCACACGTTTGCTACGCAATTGGTTCGCACGCCGTCGACTACGATGTCGACCACTCCGCCGAGAGAGTTCTTCTCGACTTTCTCTCTCTCCCGCGCCTTCGGCTCGCTCGCCGACACACGCCACTGCGCTATCGGTTCGCACACGCCGTCGACCACAATGTCGACGACTCCGCCGATGGACTCCGACCTGACTCACATCGAAGGTCCGGAGAGATTAACGAAGCGAGTTACGGTTGCTCGACTAGAGCCGTACGTCGACTCGTCGAGGGGGGGGACGTCGGGCCAAAGCCCCGCCAGACTCCCTTCACACTCTCTCTCCTAGAGTCCCGTGGCGTCGTCCTAGAGTCCGGAGGTTCCGCCCGTCCCGTCTCGTGACCGTCTCCGTACCACCAAGACTCGACCTACAATCCCAGAGTCGGCCGCCGGGGCGGGCGTTTGCCCGCCCAGGACGCCCCGGCCGAACGGAAGGGACTCGGGCTCGGGGAGCGGGACGCTCTTGGGGTAGAACTCAGTCAGGTAGCCGCCGCGGACGGTGTAGTACTTGTTTTTGTCGCGGGCGGTGCGCTTCTCGCACACCTCCTTCCAGTCCGAGAGGGCGGACTCGTAGGTGGCGATAGCTGCGGCGATGGCGGGGTACTTGGACGCACCTGCCTCGTCGAGGGCGAAGTCGGGGTTGTGGGCGACGAGGGTGCGCCAGTTCTTGAGGAGCGACATGGAGAAGTCGCTGTCGGCTCGCGTGAAGGCGGTGTCGATGTTGCACCCGCCCATCTCGGTCGGCAGCTGTGCCTGGAGCCACGCGAGGTCGCGGAGCGCCTGGGGCGAGGCGTCGGCGCGAGCAATGCTCTCAAAGGACTTGCGGATGCGGTTGTGCGCAAACTCGAGAGCCTCGCACGCGACATTGGGCGGCGTGATGTTGTGTAATCGATTGTAAGCTTGGAAAATTCTTTTAGGGTGTAGCTGTGTTAGTGCCAGTGCGCGCCAGTCCCGTGCCCAGAAAGAAAGAAAGAAAGAAGAAAACACACAACCCAAGGGCCCAGTGTTGTGCGACCAGTTGGTTGTTAATTTTTTTAGCCTGCGAGACGAGCACAGCCGCGCGAAACAATGAGGCTGGCTGATCACCACCGAGTGAACGACGGCCGATAGGCGGACCTCCAACGCGATGGAGGTAAGGTCTGGCCGCCTCGACAGCTTCAGCGGCGAGGATCTCGAGTCCGCTCGAGACGTTCTCATCTCGCGCTTCACGGTGGGCAAGAAGTCCGCCGATCACAACCGCGCCCTCATCAAGCGCATCTTTTCGGGTGCCACCTTCCACTGCCACCGCGCCGGGCGCGAGGTCCCGACGGCCGGCTGCAGCCTCGCCCTCGGAGAGGTGGGCGGCCGGTGCGTGGCTGTCGGCTGCTACCGGCACGTGCCTGCACCACGGAGGTCGTCGCTCCAGGGCTTCACCGAGCTCTTGCTCCTCGCGGTCGAGACGGTGCGCGCTCCTGCGGTAGCTGTTTCGATGCACAGCCACCCTCCCCATGTTGCGCACGTGGCCCGCGCAATCCCTCTGGCGCCGGCTTGCACAGGAGTACGAGCGCCAGGGAAACGGCCGCGCCATCGTCGCTGTCATCCTCCGCGACAGCTGGCGCGCCGGCTCTGCGCGCCTGCTGGTCGTCTCCACGGGCCACGCGTTTTGGAAGAAGCCCTCGCTGCAGCTCTCCGAGCTGGGGTCGCCAACGGACGTCGAGCAGCCCGTGTTTGCGCCCTGGTCGGCCGGCATCTCCATCGTCGGCCGGGAGGCGCGTGCCTGCTCCGAGCTGCGGCAGCGCTCTCCGCAGCCCGCCCCGCAACGCGTGGTGGCCGCGTCTAGGTGTCCGAGTCTGCTGCGGACGAGCTGGACGCAATCTGTCGAGCCGCGGCCGCCCCTCGCAGGGGCAGGGCGGGGAGGCCCGGCGGAGGGGCGGGGAGGTCCGAGGGCGAGGTAGCCTCTCGCCAGCCGGAGCCGGCCGGGAGGAAGCGGACGCCGCCGGCGCTCCCTCCAACCACTCCGAAGCGGCGCCACGCCGCCGCCTCTCCGGACGCCGCAAAGGCGCTCCTCGCGCAGACGGAGGCAGCGCCGAGGAGAGCCTCGAAGCGGGCCTCTGCCGAGGACACGCCTGCCAAGCCTGCCGCCAAGGCTGCGAGGGCGCCGCCGCCCGGAGAGGACTCGCCTCCGAGAGAGGGACGCCGGCCCCAAAAGGCGGCCGCCGCCAAGGCCCCCGCGGCGGCGGGCGCCCCTCCCTCCCTCGGCTGCTCGCGGTGCCGCCTCTCGGCGAACGGCTGCCTGCAGTGCAATCCCAACCACCCGCGGTATGCCGGAGGCGACGAGGCGCAGGAGGCGGCGCCGTCCCGCAAGGCAGCCGCTGCCAAGCGGGCACCGGCGACCAGCACCCCTCGGCGGCCAGCGTCGCAGACCGCAGCGACGCAGGCGCCGGCAGCACGGCCGGCGCCAGTGGCGGCACGGGCGGCACCCTCAAAGCCTCTCGCGGGGAGCAGCGGCCTGCGGTGCCGGAGCTGCGACGCTCCCGGCGCGCAGCGGCGCGAGGCGTCGAACGGCGGCGCCCTCTGCCGGGCGTGCTACGGGAGGTGGATCGCGCGCGAGTATTGCCCCGTGTGCGAGCGCTTATGGAGCGACGTCGGCGACGACGCGTGCATGCTGCAGTGCGACTCGTGCGACTGCTGGGTCCACGCCCGGTGCGAGCGCCTCTCGCCGGCTTCGGTCGCGCGGTGGTGCGACCTCTGCTACTCGTGCCCGAGCTGTCGGGACGCGGCGCCGGGCGAGCAGCTGCCCGCCCCGCCCCGCTCCGCCGCCGTCAGGCCGTGCTTCAGCTGCCAGGCCGCGCCGGCCGTGGGGGAGGTCGAGGTACCGGAGCACGGAGCGGTCCCGCTTTGCGGTCACTGCCAGGCGCGGTGGGAGGCGCGCGAGTACTGCCCCGTCTGCAACCAGCTCTGGAAGGAGGCGGCCGACGACGACGACGAGGGTGGCGCCGAGGAGGACATGGTGCAGTGCGACGCCTGCTCGCTCTGGGTGCACACCGCTTGCGAGTCGATGGCGCCCGACGAGGTGGCGCTGCTCGAGGACTGCGTCTACCACTGCTCCGCGTGCCGCCGCGCACCCGCCCGTTCGGCCGCCGGCACCGCCGCCGGCGCAGTGGGCGCCTTTGACTTCAAAGGCAAGGCGCGGGCCGAGGTGTCGGGGGCGCGCCTCACGGTGTGGTACGAGGAGGAGGTCGGCGATCAGGCGGTGGACGTGCCGTACTCCGGCATGGTCAAGCGGTTCGACCCGCGCGACGGGCTGTACGTCAAGTTCGCCGGTTTCCCCGAGGAGTTCCTGATCACCAACGAAGACGACTGGCAGTGGGGCTCGCACTCGTGCGGCGCGGCGCGGGACGCTGACTCCGACCTCGCCGCCGCACTCTCTGCCACAGCGGCCGCTCCGCCGCCGCCACCGCAGCAGCAGCCGGTTGCAGCGGGAGCAGGTGCCGCGGCGCCAGGCCTTGTCTTCACAGCGCCGGCGTCGGCGCCGGCGGTGGCCATGCCTCCTGCCTTTGCAGCGCAGCTGGCCGTGCAGTGGCCTCTTCCACCCTCTGCCCGCTTCGCCGCGCCCCAGCCCAACCCTCTGCTGCACCACCAGACCTTTTGGGGCGCCCCTCCATACGCTGCTCCGACGTGGGGTCGGCCGGGCTCGGGCACAATCGAGCCGCTCGGGCAGTCACAGCCACAGCCGCCTCTCCAGATGCGGCCAATGCCGCCGCCGCTACCGATGCAGCCGTTTCAACCGCCTCTGCCGTCACATGCCGCACCGGCGGCGCCGCCTCCTCCGCAGCCAACAAGCTGCATGATCGTGTCGCCATCCGCTCAGCCGGCGAGGCCAGCGGCTTGCACCGCGGCTTGCACGGCCGTGACAGCCCTGCCCTCAGGCACAGTCACGGCGGCAGCGGCACCGGCAGCGGCACCGGTGACGCCCTCCGCGTCTACTTCGTCGTCCTTCGACCCCGCCTTGGCGGAGCGGTACAAGTCGCACGCTGTCCGATTTGAGCCGCTCACAGCGGCGAACGTCGAGAGCAAGATGCGCGGGCTGTGCGAGGGCCTCGAGAAGGTCTACGGCTCGATGCCGTTCGCGCGCAAGGAGTGGGGCACCTCAATCCTCGGCACGCTGGTCGGACTCATCTGCGCGCAGACGTGCCGCAACTCTTGGTCGTCGATCGGCTACGCAAACTTCCAGGCCACCTTCCCCGGGCCCAATGGGGAGCCCGACTGGGACCTCGTGCGCCGCTCGCGCGTGGAAGCTCTGGAGCCGTGCATCCAGCACGGCCCGTACTACCACACCAAGGCAGAGCGCATTCACGGGCTTCTCCAGAAGGCGTACGAGGACTTTGGCGCGGGGACATCCTTCGAGGCGCTGCACACGTGGCCCTCCGAGAAGGTTCGCTCGTACCTGATGGCGATCTCTGGGCTCTCTGGCAAGTCGATCGCGTGCCTCCTCCTCTACCGCATGAACCGGCTCAGCTTCGCCGTCGACGCGAACGTGCTCCGCATGATGACCCGGCTCGGCTGGCTCAAGTCGCTCGGGATCATGCCGGTCGAGGGTCTCGCCATCGGGGACCGCCGTGTGGTTGCCCGCATCGGCCTGCTGCCCGCTCCGCCGCCGCGCAGAGCGCCAGCGGCGGCAGCGGCAACGGCGCGGCGGGACTCGAGCACGGACGTCGTCGCGGTGGGGATCGCCGTCGAGCGAGAGAGCGGCCGGGTCGTGCTGCGCCTGCAGCCCATCCCGATGCCCGTGCGGCTGCAGCTCTGCGCAAAGCAGCCAAAGCCGCCACGGCCGGCACTCACCTTCCGGCCCAGCGGTGCCGGGACGAAAAAGCGGCGCTGCGGTGCCTGCGCAGCCTGCCTCTCCCCAAACTGCGGCCAATGCTCCAAGTGCCGCGACATGCCCGCATTTGGGGGGCCGGGCAAGATGCGCCAGTGCTGCGAACGCCGTCACTGCGTGGCGCCTCTGCAGCCCGCGTCAGCGCTCCCAGCGCCAGAGGCGCCGCAGACGTCAGTGGAGCGGTCATCCCAGCTGCCGGTTCAGCCGCCGTTGCCCAACCAGCCGCAGGTGGCGATGATGCCGCAGCCGCAGCCCCCGCCGCCCCCGTGGGGGCTGCCCGTCGGGTGGTCGCTTCCCCTGCCGCAGCTCGTGATGCCGATCGCGCACGCAGGAGCGCCAGCGCTGCTGCCGGCGCCGGCGCACCGCTCCTGGCCGCAGGCGCCTCCTCACGCGCAGCTGCAGGCGATGGCTGGAATGTTGCAGCAGCCGTTTCTTCCCGCGCCCACCCCTCCGGCCTCGCCTCCGCCGTGCGATCCTCTCGAGGACGTCACGATGGACGCGGCCGAGGGTGGTGCCACGGACGAGGCCGAGGAATCCATCAGCGGCGGTACGGCAGACGCGGCCGAGGTGGCGATGGATCTGGCTGAGGGGTCTATCCTAGACCTGACGGAGGAGGGCGAGGAGGGGGGAATGGACGCGATGGAGGCGTGTGAGATGGGCGTTGACGACCGCGTGCTCGTTCGCGACGTGATAGCTGAGGCGATTGGTCGCTTGCCGAGTGCTCCGGGGGTTCCCTCAGCTACGCGGAAGCCAGGCGTGCCCCTCGCATTCGGCTTCTCTCCCTACGACGTGTCCGGGAAGATCGGCCCAGAGGAGCCGCCGCAGCAGGTGGTCGATTCGCTCGTCCCTCGGCCAGTGCCGCTCTCCGAGGACCAACCCATCTCGACCAGCGCTCTTGCCGCAGCTGCGGCCGCAGTGGCACCCCCTCCGCAGACACGCTCTTCCCCCCCCCCTCCCCTTCGCCGCTCTGACACACAGCGTCTTTGGACCTAGGCGGCCTCGTCCACAGACATGACGTCGGACGCGTGGCGCGCAGCCCCGGGCTCAGCGGCGCTCAAGGTCACCGGAGCGCCCAAGATGTACTGCAGAGTGCACTCGACGTACCACGTGTGCGACTGGACGCGGCAGCGAGCCAAGGAGATGGCCGCGGCGAAGGCTCCCAAAGCCGCTGGTGGCGCCGCCTCTGCTCGAGCGTCTCAGTCGGCCCACCGGCGAGCGAGCGGCGTGGGCGACATCGAGGACCTCCCAAAGCACCCGCAGGCGAACATCAAGCGCTTCTCGGTCCGCGCGCAGCAATTCATGCGGGAGATACTGCCTCAGGACGAGGACCCGCCGGCAGAGCCGTCCCGCGAGAAGCGGGAGCTGCAGACGCTGCTGTACCGAGCGCACGTGTACATGATCACGCACGGAGCGATCCTCTGTGGCGAGACGCCGAGCTGCGACCAGTGCCCGATCCGCGCCTCGTGCGAGTACGGGACGCTGCTCAAGGCCGGCGCGATAGGCTCGATGGGCACCGCGGCATCCCCAGGGCGTGGCTCTGCCGCCGCCGCTGCGCCGGACGTCGTCACTGCAACCGTGGCCGATGGAGCAGACGATTCCGACGTGGTCGCCACCGTCCTTGTCGAGGCTGCCGCCGTCCGCCCCGTCGCTGCGCCCCCTGTCGCCTCCCAGCCCGGCGCCGCACCGATCTCTGGCACAGCTCCCGCTGCCGCTGCCCCTACCCTTCCCTCCGAGGCTGCCGCCGCGAATAGCTCTAAGGAGCCGGCTGCGGCGGCTTCTGCCGGCGCCGATGCTGACGCCGCCGCTGGCGCCGCCGCTGCCACCGGCGAGGCCCGGGACGTCGGCGCTGCGCCGGCTCCTTCCGAGTCTGGCGCGCCCAGTCCCGTCGCGCCCACGGCGACCGTGCTTAATCCCGCCGACGAGTCCGCCTCTCTCACCGAAGCGCTCCCGGCCGAGTGCGGCGGCAGAGTCTCTCTGTCGAGTGCGGGTGCGGCTTCAGGAGCGGAGCCGTTGCAGGAGCCGCCCGCTGGGAAGGATGCCGCGGGAATCGCGGATGGCACCGTCGAGGATATGCCTGAGGATCCGGGCCGAGCGGCGCCGCTTCGTCCCTCCGCCCTCCCTGCGGGCAGCCCCACCGAGAAGGAGCTGGCGGAGCTGCACAAGCTTGCTCGCGGCGAGGGCGACACGCACTACCAGCTGCGGCAGGCCCGCGCAGTGCTCGACGAGTCGATCGCGCCGCGCCACGCCGGCGACGCGACGCCCCGCCTGTTGCTGGTCAAGTCGATCGTGGGCGAGCACGCGTGCGGCCGGCTGCTCTTCTCTCCGTGGACGGCCTTCAAGGGCATCTTCCCGATGCACGGCACCTACTTCTTCCAGAACGAGGTCTTCGAGGACGAGTCGGCCGGCGAGGTGCACGTGCCGCTCGCCAGCCTGGGCACGAGCCACCCCGTCTACCTCGGCAAGTCCATCGAGGGCGTGCTGCGCGGCCGAGGCTCCCGCGAGCTGCAGCTCCTCTTTCGACACGGCTACGTCTGCATCCGCCGCTTCCGCACCAGCAGCTGGCGCCTGCTCCCCCTCGTGCTCGACCCGCCGCGGCTGCTCAAGTACAACGCCCTCCCTTCGGGCGTGGCTGTTCAGATTGGCCTGCAGTCTGAGGCGGACACCGCCGCCGCCGCCGCCGCCGCCGCCGCCGCCGCCGCCGCCGCCGCCGCCGCCGCCGCTGCCTCCTCCACCGCAGCGACCTCGACGACGCCCGCCGCCGACGGTGCCGCAGCCGCTTCCAGCACGGCGGCCGAGGCTGCGGCGGCGACGAGCGATGGCGCGGATGTGTCCCCGGACCCCGCCGAGGCGAGTCGGCGCGCCGTCGCTCGGGCGACGGGAGTGCGCCTCTTTGGGCTCTACGTCGCGGCGGGAGGGGCTCTGTGCATGCGAGAGAGTGTGTGGCGTCGCGTCGTGCTCTCCATCCACCCCGACCGCGGCGGCGACGTAACCACCTTCCAGCTGCTCAACGACTGGAAGCGGCTGCTCGACTCGGGCGAGGAGCTGCCGAGGGAGGTGGCGGGCGAGATCGAGCGTGCGTCCGACGAGGGCCTGGCCGCAACGGCGGTCGCCCTGGCACTCAAGATTGAGTCCGACCTCCGCTCACGGGCGGCGGAGCTTGGGCTGCCGCCGCCCGCCTTGCTGAAGGGGCCGGGCGTGGCCGATGGCGACGCCGACGCCGTCGTGGGCGAAGCCAGCGGTGTGCACACTGACATCAGACATGGACTCGCACAGCGCATGATGGGACTTGGCACACAGCGAGGGTGGGATATGTCAATTCACTCTGCCCTATGACGGGTGTATATGTTCATGCATGTAAATTAAAGTTTAACAAACAAATATGGCTTTGTTTCCCCCAACTCGCGAAGAGTGCAAATAAACCACAAATGAGACAAAAAAAGATGAATTTTGACGGTTTTTTGTCCGTGTTGCTCCCAGCGCCCTCGCCCGTGCTCCCTGAGGCCATGGCTGGTGCTACTAGTATGGGGGGCTACCTGGCTACCGCGAGAGCGACC